ACTGCTGTACTGGCAGCCATCTGCCTGGCTTGTGGCTGAGCAGAGCTCCCCCTGTGGGAGAGCACTGACCACCAGAGGGCAGCTCCTGCATTGAGAATCTGCCCCCTGGTGGTCAGTGAGTGTCATAGTGACCAGTCATTGCCAGTCATTCTGCTGTTAGGGTCAGTTTGCATATTACCCTTTTATTATATAGGATTTCTCCTCCTCCTCCTCCTCCTCCTCCTCCTCCTCCTCCTCCTCCTCCTCCTCCTCCTCCTCCTCCTCCTCTTTTTTGTTCTTCTTCTTCAAGAATACCCTTCAACATTTCATGTAAGACTGGTTTGGTAGTGATGAACTCCTTTAGCTTTTTTTTTTTTTTTTAAATTAAATCTTTATTATTCAGATTATTACATTGGTTCCTCTTTCCCCCCCCCCCCATAACTCCCCTCCACCCAGTTCCCACCCCAACCTCCACCCTCACTCCCCACCCACTGTCCTCATCCATAGGTGCACGATTATTGTCCAATCTCTTCCCGCATCTCCCCACACCCCTTTCCTCCTCAAGAATAGTCAGTCCATTCCCTTTCTATGTCCCTGATTCTATTATAATCACCAGTTCATTCTGTTCATCAGATTATTTGTTCACTTGATTTTTAGATTCACTTGTTGATAAATGTGTATTTGGTGTTCATAATTTGTATCTTTAGCTTTTTCTTCTTCTTCTTCTTCCTCTTAAAGGATACCTTTCAGCATTTCATATAATACTGGTTTGGTGGTGATGAACTCCTTGAGCTTTTTCTTATCTGTGAAGCTCTTTATCTGGCCTTCAGTTCTGAATGATAGCTTTGCTGGATAAAGTAATCTTGGTTGTAGGTTCTTGGCATTCATCACTTTGAATATTTCTTGCCACTCCCTTCTGGCCTGCATAGTTTCTGTTGAGAAATCAGCTGACAGTCGTATGAGTACTCCCTTGTAGGTAACTGACTGTCTTTCTCTTGCTGCTTTTAGGATTCTCTCTTTGTCTTTTGCTCTTGGCATTTTAATTATGATGTGTTTTGGTGTGGTCCTCTTTGGATTCCTTTTGTTTGGGGTTCTCTGCGCTTCCTGGACTTGTAAGTCTATTTCTTTCACCAGGTAGGGGAAGTTTTCTGTCATTATTTCTTCAAATAGGTTTTCAATATCTTGCCCTCTCTCTTCTTCTGGCACCCCTATAATTCGGATGTTGGTACGCTTGAAGCTGTCCCAGAGGCTCCTTACACTATCTTCATATTTTTGGATTCTTTTTTCATTTTGCTTTTCCGGTTGGGTGTTTTTTGCTTCTTTGTATTTCAAATCATTGACTTGATTCTTGGGATCCTCTTGTCTCCTGTTGGGAGTCTGTATAATATTCTTTATTTCAGTCAGTGTATGCTTAATTTTTAGTTGGTCCTTTATCACAACATCGAGGGTCTCACTAGATTTCTTGAGGGTCTCATTAAGTTTATCGGCGGTTTCTAGAAAATTCTTGAAAAACCTGATAAGTGTGGTTTTGAACTCTATATTCAGTAGTTTGCTTTCTTCCATTTCTGTCAGCTGTGTCCTGTTTCGTTGTCTCAGCATTTTTTATGCTTTGCGGTGTCAATAGAGTGGCTTTCTGTGCTAAGTGTCCTATAGGGCCCAGTGGCTCAGTCTCCCCAATTACCTGAGGTGGACACTCTTGATGCACCCCCTTGTGGGCTTTGTGCACAGTCTTGTTGTAGTTAAGCCTTGATTGTTGTAGGTAACACTGGGAGGATTTGACCTCCAGGCCAATTGGCTGTGAGAATCAGCTGTGTCTACAGTGGGAGAACTTCTGTGCTGAAGTCACCCTTCTGGGGCAAGACTTGTTTCAGTGGGGCTTTAGTGCTCACTGAGTCTGCCCCCTGAGTGTGTCCCTTATGGGTCTGAGGAGTTGTAATTGGATGGTCTCACTCTGACCACTGGGTACACTGGCTCTTGGATCTAAGGAGGTGCTAATTTAGCCTCTGCCTGAGGCTACCCAGCAGAAGCCAGCTATAAAGCGATGCAAGTTGCCCTGGGGCCTTGGGGAAGCTGCAGTTTGTTAAGTAATTTTCAGATTACAAAGGGCCGGGCCTTTCATATGCAAAAGCCTCCGTGCACAGCTTGGGTGGGGCAGCGTCCCAGGGGATCAACAGGGCAGGCGGAGTGAGCAGTTATGGCTGCTCTCAGTCCTGCCTTCAGAGGTCCTGGCAATCGCTGCGAGTGCCTCTGAGAGAAAACTACCCTCGAGTTCCGACTGATGCCAGACAGTCCAATTTCTCCCGTATGAGTCTGGGTCCCCAGAGACTCGCCCGGAACTGGAGCTCGGAGCCTGAGACTCCCTCCCGATTGAAAAAGACAATCGTGTCCTCAGCCGCCAGCCCTCTCCGCATGCACCTCCGCACCTTTGTATTTTACTTCTGCACCACACCTCCTCTGAGTCTTGGTATGCTTTTCTCTTTCCTTCTAGTTGTAGAATTTCCACTCAGCCAGCCTTCCTGCGGTTCTGGATGATGTCTGTTCCGTCTTTTAGTTGTATTTTCAAAGTGGTTGTGCGAGGCAGCAATCTCCGGTGTTTACCTATGCCGCCATCTTGGTTTCTCCTCTTTTAGTTTTTTCTTGTCTATGAAGCTCTTTATCTGACCTTCAATTCTACATGATAGTTTTGCTGGGTAGAGTAATCATGGTTGTAGGTCCTTGCTGTTCATCATTTTGAATATTTCTTGCAATTTCCTTACAGCCTGCAAAGTCTGTTGATAAATCAGCTGACAGTCATATGGGTGCTCCCTTGTAGGTAACTAAATGCTTTTCTCCTGCTGCTTTTAAGATTCTCTCTTTAACACTTGACATTTTAATTATGATGTTTAATTATGTCTTGGTGTGGGCCTCTTTGAGTTCCTATTGTTTAGGACTCTTTGTGCTTCCTGGACTTGTAAGTCCATTTCTTTCACCAGGTAGGGGAAGTTTTCTGTCATTATTTCTTCAAATAGGTTTTCAATATCTTGCTCTCTCTTCTCCTGACACCCCCATAATGCGAATGTTGGTACACTTGAAGTTGTCCCAGAGGCTCCTTACACTAGCTTCATATTTTTGGATTTTTTCTTTTTGCTCTTATGATTGGGTGTTTTTTGCTTCCTCATATTCCAAATTCTTGATTTGATTCTCAGAATCCTCTACTGTTATTCCCTGTAAATTATTCTTTTTTTTAAAAAATATATATTTTATTGATTTTTTACAGAGAGGAAGGAAGGGAGAGGGATAGGGAATCAGAAACATTGATGAGGGAGAAACATCCATCAGCTGCTTCCTGCACACCCCCGCCTGGGGATGTGCCCGCAACCAAGGTACATGCCCTTGACCAGAATCGAACCTGGGACCCTTCAGTCTGAAGGCCGATGCTCTATCCACTGAGCCAAACTGTTTAGGGCTCCCTGTAAATTATTCTTTATTTCAGTTAGTGTATGCTTAATTTCTGACTAGTCCTTTTCATGTCTTTAAAATTCTCATTAAGATCCTTGAAAGTATAAGTCCCCTGAAACTCTCATTAAGATCCTTGAGCAACCTTGTAACCATTGTTTTGAACTCTGTATCCAGCAGTTTGCTTGCTTCCATTTCTTTCTTTTGTGACATTTTGACTACTTCCCTGTGTTTGTTTCTATGAATTAGGTAGAGCTGTTATGTCTCCTGGAATTGGTAGAGTGGCCTTGTGTAGTAGGTGTCCTGTAGGACCCAGTGGTTCCGCCCCTCCAACCCCATTCACCTGAGCTGGGAGCACCCCTGTGTGTGCTGTGTACACTGTCTTTTGTAGTTGAGCCTTGATTGCTGTTGTCATCACTGGGAGGAATTGACCTCCAGGCCAATTGGCTGTGAGGACCAGCCACAAACTACAGTGGAAGAGCTGAGTGGGGCTTTGATGCTGAGTCTGCCCCTTGAGTGAGTCGCTTGTGGATGTGTAGAGTTGTAATCTGGTATGGTCTGAAGCTGTGTCACCTCTGATACGCGTGTCATAGGTTTGCCATCACTGCACTATGGCATTCATTAGAATGGAAGTCTGTATGTGTTTCTACCTCCGACATCAGCCCGCGCTCTAGCCTCCTCACAGCACGAGGCTGGTCGTGATGCCAATGCGAGCCAATTCACGGGGCCAGCTTCCTATAGTGCACTGGATTCGCTGGGAGACTGTAAACAGCTGTGCATGTAGGTTCCACGAACTGTAGGCTTTGTCCATCTGACATGTGTGCCGTCTGCCTTCCTACCCTCGTCACTTCTCACTCACGCTGCAAAGACAAGCTCACATCAGGCACCTTCCGAAGCAGATGCTTGAGGCACATCCTGAGAGGTGTAATTCCGCCTCTGTGAAGTTGGGGTGATCTGATTGCTCCTCTTGTGAGTCTGTGGAGCCAGGTCAGCCGATCAGAAGGTTTGAGGGAAACACTATCGTCTGCTTCTTCAGCAAAGGGCATGGGCACTTAGCATGTTGCTTCGGTGATGTTCTCGGGGCTGTGAGTCCTGCTGACCCCCTGCTCTCAGGGAAGCTCACATCCCCGCTCCCCCACTGCTTCCCCTCAGGCCCAGCTGCTGGTGGAGCTGACATCTGGTGACCCTTCACCTCCTTTGAGTGAAAGCATCACAGCCCCTGAAAACAGGACTCCCTGCACTGTGCTGTTGCACGATGTGTAAGGGAGGTGAGCAGCGCCACACAAGGCCTTAACACAAAACAGGTTTTCAGGGAAAAGGCTGGTAAGTCAGAGCCAAGACCAAGCCAATCAAATGAAGAGAAGAAACGCCAAGAAAAGTGGGAGGAGAAAAACCTGCCCCATACAATTAGGAGAAACACCAGCTGCACGCAGCTCCTGACAGCAGAGAACTAATCTTGTGGCCACTGTGTAAAGCCACACGCTTGGGGAGTCCTAGCAACAAAGCCCCCAAATTTAATAATAATAATAATAGTAATAAATAATAATAATAATAGAGAAATGAAGATCTGATTGGCCTGTGGCTTCTCAGGGGCTGGTGAGGTCTCCCTTCTCATGAGTGGAAGCCACAATCCTGGGGACAGTGTCTTTAGGAACCAGCGAGGGTGCATCTAAGGTTCTCCGACGCTCATTCAGAGCACTTTTCCCGACTGCCATGGTCAGCACCTCCTCCTCGCCCTGGCAGGAGCTGCGGGGATGGTGTGGGAGAGGCGGGAGGCTCAGCTGGGTGACGCTGTCCTGACCAATGGGAGCCTGTCCTCTGTGGGGACAGCACCTGCTCTGCATCCGGACCTGCCCGGTGGTCCCTCCGCAGCTCTTCCTGCATCTTCACAGCCTCGTCCTCTTCCCTCTCCTCCTGTGGAGGACTCGCTGTTTTCCTGGAAGAAGCAGTTGTAAAGAGTTGGTATTGAAATCATAACCAAGGGCACTGCAGTGGAAGCTAAGGATGGCCACTGGGCAGGGCTGATGGGGCGCTGAGCTGTCCCAGAGTGCGGTGGCTGAGCTGCGGGTGCAGGGAGCGGGCAGTGCAGACTGGGCCAGGTTTCTGTCCCCCAGCATCCTTTTCCCTGCGTCCTCACTCTCTCAGTTAGGTGCTCAAGCCTCCTTGCTTCACTTTTAAAATATTTACTTAGTTACTTTATAAAGATAGCATTTTAAATATCCTATATAATAAAAGCCTAACATATGCTAAGTGTCCGGTCATCTGGTCATCCGTTCAACCAATCAAAGCGTAATATGCTAATGATAAGCTAAGGCTGCTCAACCACTCGCTATGATGTGCACTGACCATCAGGGGGCAGACAGTCCACCAGTCGACCAGTTGCTATGACATGCACTGACCACCAGGGGGCAGACGCTCCAACCAGTAGGTTAGCTTGCTGCTGGGGTCCTGCCGATCAGGACTGAGCGAGCAGGGCTGGGCACACCCTGGAGCCCTCCGGTGGTCCCTCTCCAGCTGGCCAACCTCCCGCCTCCCACCCCAGCCCGGTGGGGTCCCTCAGCCTTGCCTGTGCCCTCTCACAATCTGGGACCCCTCGGGGGATGTCAGAGAGCCGGTTTCAGCCCAATCCCACTCACCAATGGAGCTGCCCCCCCACCCAGTGCACAAATTTTGTGCACCAGGTCTCTAGTTTTTAAATAAAAAGTATTAACCGAACGCCATAACAATACTATAGAAAGTATAGTTTTCCACCTGTGCGGAAGTCTCAGGGAGAAATTCCAGTCTCTCTTCTCCAACCGACTCCTCTGAACCAGTAAGTGGGAGCCGGATAGGTGGGAGCGGGTAGGTGGGGGTGCGCTGGGATGGGGGTGCATTGGGCCAGGTCTCCCTGGGCTGCAGTCCCTTCTCACCTGTGTGGTTTGCTCTCTGAGAGTCCACAGGGCTCGGGTGTCTCTGGTCTTGGTGGGAAGAGGAAGGCAAGTCCTTGCGTGGGAGAGGTCGCGGCCGAGTAGCGCCCTGTGGGGAGGCGTGTGATGGGGGTTGGCTTGGGGGCACTGGCGTGGCCTTGCTCGGCCCATGGCCCCACGCACAGCCCACAGCACTGCTCCATGTGCGTGTGGTATTGTGGACAAGCTGCCCGCCCTCCCCGCACGGTCTCCTCGGGGATGGAGAGCGACGCCTCTAGGGGGGCGTGGGGCACACCTGGCTTTCTCCATGAGGAGCTTTTCCGAGTCCGGGTAATGCACCAGGGTTTCCCTAAGGGCCTTCCTGTCCAGGGCGAGAAGGTGCACGAAGCCGTGGGCTACCACGCTGGCGGTCCGGCGGCTTCCTGTCGCTGCCAGGAGGCAGAGAGAGAGAGAGAGAGAGAGAGAGAGAGAGAGAGAGAGAGAGAGAGAGGGAGAGCAGTCTTCCTCTTTCCCCACCAAAATCTTAAAAATAAATCAAACCCTAACCATCCTCTGCTGCAGAGATGGCTCCCTGTTGGCGAGAACTCAGCCCACTGAGCCCCGAGCCTCCAAAGGTTGCCCCGCTCGGCTCGGCCTCCCATCAGGGACGGGGCCCCTCAGCGCCTGTGGGACTCCGCCAGGTCCCAGGAGTGCAGTCTGGACTGTGTCCCCCTTGGTTTTTCTGGACCCACTTTCCACCCTCTGCTCCCCCTTTGCACTGGGAGGCTGACTCTGCGGGCATGCCTTGCTCTGTGGGCTCCGCCAAGGAGGACGACCAGGATAAGTGGGGCTGCAGCATTCCTCCCTGCCCTCCCCTCAGGGCCAGCTTAGAAGGCTGTTCCCCACCAGATCCCTGCTCCTGAGGGCTCCTGGCCTAACAGGCCCTCAGGGTTCCCGTGACTGCCCCCCTTGTCCCCACCCCAGCATGGAAACGCTCTTAGATTCTCCCTCCCTCCTGTCTTCCCTTTACTAAAAGCTTCCTAGTTACCTGGCTGAAGTGCACCTTCTGGTTTCCTCCAGGCTCTGACTGCGCAGACATCAAATCTCAGTGATGCCTGGTTACATCAGGTGAGCCCCATCCCTTCCCACCCTCGCCCCCAACCACCTCAGTGATGCCAGGTTACATCATGTGAGTCCCATCCCTTCCCACCCTCACCCCCAACCACCTCAGTGATGCCTGGTTACATCAGGTGAGTCCCATCCCTTCCCATCCTCACCTCCCAGATCACCTAATTTCTCAGTATCTCAACTGCTCTGTAGCCAAGTCACTCGCATACAATGTCCCACTCGAATGTCACTGAATTCTGGTATTTATATTCCTCAGAGACATAGCTGAGCGTTTTGCATGCAGGAAGTAACCAACATAGAGTGAATAAATGAATAAAACAGGTGAACAGCCAATTCCCGCCCTCCCCTTCCCCCCCAAAATAGCCAACAACACACACACACACACACACACACACACACACACACACACACACACACCGGGTGAACAAAAATACTATCATTCACCGGCAACTTGGAAAATAAGGCTTGGTCTTTGAAACCAAGGCAAGAAAAACACATATCTCAAATGTTTTAACAGAAACAACACTGCTGGCTATGCAGTGAGGCGATAACACAGACTGAATGTCGCAGAGCCAGCCAGTCAGATGCGGAGAAAGAAGGCCACACAAATAAACACAGTCTGTGGGGGGTGGTGGGGGGAGGGCGGGAGCTGCATGACTCTTAGCCTGAGGGTTGACTGTAGACAACATGCCCTCCTCCAGCTGCTGCTGCAGAAAGGGAGCATCCTGGACGACTGGCTGCTAATTGTGAACAAACTAACCAAGCATGTGGGACCTTCAGAATTCCTGTGGTCTGTATATAAGCAGACACCATTCTCTAATACAAAGAAAGACTTGAAGCAGTGATGGCAAAGAAGTTTCCAAACTAATGACAGACACCGGACCACAGATCCAGAAAACTCAGGGGTTACTGAGCATAAAAACTACCTGAGAAACTCTATCCCTCGACATATCATATTAAAACGGCAATACACCAAAAACAAAGAAAACCTTGAAAAGAATAGGAGGAACAAAGAGGAACAGCAGGAGACATTTTATCCCAAACTGTGCAAGTGAGAAGAGAGTGGGATGACCACCCACCAGAATTCTTTGTGCAGTGAAATTGTCCTTTGAAAGTGAAGGAGACACGAAGATTTTGTCAGGAAAAACAAAAACGAGGAATGTCAACATTAGCAGAACTACTCTGCAAGGAATGTCGAAAGGATAACAGGTTAGAAATGCAGCTTTCCGGCGGTGATGGCCTCCCCGCGAGGACATGCCTCTCGCCAAGGATCTCCTGTACCCCTCCCCGGAGGAGGAGAAGAGGAAGCACAAGAAGAAGCGCCTGGTGCAGAGCCCCAACTCCTACTTCATGGACGTGAAGTGCCCAGGATGCTACAAAATCACCACCGTCTTTAGCCATGCACAAACGGTAGTTTTGTGCGTTGGTTGCTCCACTGTTGTCTGTCAGCCAACAGGAGGAAAAGCAAGGCTTACAGAAGGATGCTCCTTCAGAAGGAAACAGCACTAAACGCACCTCAAATCAAGATGAGTGGGACACCATCCCAATAAACACATTTTAGATACATAAAAAATAAAAAAAAAAAAGAAAGAAATGCAGGTCTTCGGAGAGAATGGAAGGACACGGAGAAGGAGCAAATGGCGGTAAAATAATCTAAAACATTTTATTTCTCTTAATCCTGATTGATCTAAAAGGCAACTCCAGCACGTGGGTAAGGGAAAGGACTGCCCAGTGTCCCGAGGCCAGAGGGAGAGCTGGGGCACGGTTCCGAGGCTGCGCACACACGTAAGCCGTCCAGCATTATGTGAGGGGAGACTTAACTCCATTTAGAATGTGTACTGCAGCTCTAGGACCACCACCAAACTCTTTTGAAGGGAGTGTGATTGCTATGCTAAGGGAGGAGAGAAGATGGAATCATATAAAATGCTCCATTAAAGCCCGAGGAGGCAGAAGAGGGGGAAACCTAATGCAGGCCACCTTGAGGCACAGACAGGGCCTGTACCTGCACTGCACATTGAACTTGGTGCAGGACTAGCCAGGCCGCTCCAGAATGGAGTTACTCTTCCAACACAGAAAGTGTACATGTTGGCCATGTTAACGCCTACTTCTTTTGCTCAGTTGTTTCACATTTTAAATGTATTGCTCCATGGCAAAACATGGACATTTTAGTCCTTTCCTGAGGTTCTCCCCAGGACAGGCTCTGCCTTCACCTTTTCTTTAAGGAAGCAAAATAAATGTTTATCTATCTATCTATCTATCTATCTATCTATCTATCTATATCTATTATCTATTTATATATCATCCATCAATCAGTATATTAGCTATTTATCTATTTTTCTATTTACTTACCTATTTATTATCCATTAATCAATCTCTACTAATATATATCATACACCAATCAATCTATTAGTTATTTACCTACCTTTCTATCTATTTACTTACCTACATATCATCCATTAATCAATCTTTCTATTATCTACTTACCTGTCTACCATCTATCACCACAATCATCTCTTCAGTCATGCATCTACCCACCTTCCTATCTATCTTCTTGCCTTTTTCTCTATGGAATGGATGCTGATATTTGAAGACTCGATGCTTGGATGAGCCTATTTCTTCCCACCAGTCACCTTGGACAGGGGTGCAGTGGTCAGGCAGAGCCAGGTGGCCATGGGGAGCTGAGTTTGGAGCTGCGAGTGTGTCTGTGCTGTCAGACTATGACAGCAGAACGGAAGTCACATGTTTAAGTGCCAGGTTATTTTTATATTTCTCCAGCTTTAATTAACCTTGCCTACAGGTTACACATGTGCAGTGCGTGATGAGTTTTTGAACAAAGAAGTTGCCAAATGCATTTTGCCCAAACTCTCTCAGCACTGTTTAAAATAGTACCCCCTTCACAAACACTTGTCCAGCATTCCACCATAGAAAACCTCACTCATTAAGTAGCTTAGAAAGGGGATCCCTAAATGCATGCCACCCCACACGGTTTCGGAAGGAGCACTGCTGGGGACACACGGGACTAGTGATTAGTGTCCAGGGAACAAGGACTGGCTCCAATTCTAGTTCCTCCTCTGAGTGCCGGGACCTCAGATACAAGCCGAAGGACCTTTTGGTTTTCACGCCCATCATGCATCCACTGAGCGCCCGCGTGTTTCCGCACAGGGAGGCTGGGCCAGAGGAGAGTGATTAGAGTGTGTGCAGCTTTCTGGAAAGGACACAGGCTTTGGGACAAGGTGCCACCATTTATTGAGTGCAGCTCTGAACAGTTACTTACTCTCTCTTTCAGGAAGCAGGGCCACCTGTGAACGCCTGCTGTAGGTATCTGATCATCTTTAGACAGACATAGAGTTTATAGACGCCTGATATTCAATTATGACAATGATGCTTTGGGTAAATTTCTGGCTGAGAACTTTTGAACCTGAGTTTGTGTTATGTAACGAACAAGCAACAACTATACTAACTTTGTGTAGGAGGGGGTATATGTGCCTGTAATGCAAACCGGCTCCCAGAAGCCGGGAGCCTCATACTCTGCCATAAGCAAGCTGGGGACCCAGGAAAGCTGATGCGCAACAGCCTGAGCCAGAGGCCCGAGGACGGGAGAACCAGGAGCTGATGGGCTAAGTCAGGTCTGGATCAAAAACCCAAGAACCAGCAGTGCTTATGTCTGATGTCCAAGGGCAAGAGAAGGGGGCCGTCTTGAAGCACCATCTTATAGAAAACTGCTGTTTGAAACGTTTACCCTGCTATTTTGGCTTCTGTAAACGCTTGCTTGCTTAAATAATAAGTAAAATAAGTCTGACAACAGTGAGCTCTCACTTCCTCTCACTACTCAGTCATTCCTTCTTCCAACACCTGTGCAGCCTCCACCTGACTAGCACGACCCAGGCCTCGGGACTGCAGAGCTGCCGGGGCCAAGTCTCTGGGGGAGGCAGGGGGCACCTGGGAATGCGCAAGTCCCTGTTTTCCCAATGCTCTCGCAAGTCAGACCTGTAATAAGTGGAAGCAGGAAGCTTACAAGTTTTGTGACCTAAGATTTTTCTTTTATGACAAGCGGCGGACTGTAGTTGGAGGTGTCTTTCAGGTACCTGATTTCTCCGAACACTGTCCCAGCTTTCAGAGTGACCAGAACTTGAGCTTCATGGGCGCCTCCAAGAACCCGGACTTCCCCCTGCTTCACGATGTACATTTCCTTGCCGATTTCTCCCTGTGCGCCAGACATAAAGAGGAACTTTATTCCTGACAGTTACTCCCCAAATGAGGAAACAGAAACGTTTCTAGAGGAAAACATGGAGAAGAAGGAGGAAGAAACACCAATGGAAAAGCAGTCGCCTGGAGGCCTGAGGCAGTACAGCCACTGGGTGACACAGCGCGTGGAAGGAAGTTACTAGGACCTGTGAGCAGTGATGCCCGGGCGCGTGGGTGCAGCTCAGCCAGCACTTGCTCCGGGCGCGGCGGCAGAGGGAGACCTGGCTGTCAGCATGGCCACGCCGGTGCCGTGAGCACTGCTTTGCTTTGGAGAAGGCGCCCAGTCTCCCCGAAGCACCTGCGCTACAACCATGACTCGCCAGCCTGACTTCTGCCTACAGCACCGGGCCTGGCTTTAGAAACGGGGCTGTTTATGCTGCCATCCTTGCTCCATGCCGAGAGCAAAGTGTGAGTGCCGCGGGTTCCTGCTTATCCCGGGGCTCTTGGCGCGGGCAGGACCCTGCCTGCTTCCACGGCCCCGGGGGAAGGCATTACTCTGGTGCCCGAGGCACAGTGGCAGGACACACCCGCTGTCAGCGCTGTTTAATGGAAGGAGAGATGTGTGAGGCGTACTTGGCATCTACTTTGGAGTCTAAACCATGGTTGGTCCTGTAGCTATGTGACCAGCCTCATTTAAGAACAATAAAATGGCAATAAATACATAGCTATCAACAATTGAATCTAAAAAACAAATGAACCAGCAGAGCAAAAACCATGTATGGGGCCAAGTGGGTACTAGACTCACCGAGGGCGATCGCTTTGTAAGTTATACGTGTCCAACCACTATGTTGTACACCTAAAACTCATACAATATTTCAACTATCATTGAAAAATAAAAACTGATTAAAAACCCCACAATGGATCCCAACACTCAGATGGGCCTCTGTCTGTGGGGATATTTTGCTCTGTGACTACTGCTCAATCTGGAGAAAACCCACCCAGGTGACCCTCTCAGGAGGAGGCCCAGGAGGCCTGCTCCTGATTGCTCTAGCCTTTGCCTGCTCATGTCTTTTTCCTACCGTCCCTGCGCCGTGTGTGTTGCTGCAATAACTCTTCAGCCATAATGATAACTTTACATCGACTCAGACGAATCACCAAGCCAGTGGGTGGGGTGGACCCTCGAAATGTTCCTTCTCACTCCAAGAGGCAGGAAGAATGAATGTCTTACAAGAGACCTAAGTGGCATCTGGGCCACGAAAGGCTGTTCGACGCGGAATGAGCCAGTTTGCACAACCCTAGGCAAACTATTTGGGTAATAGCCCCTTGATATTAGCTTTCTTTTTTTTTAAAATTAAATCTTTATTGTTCAGATTATTACAGTTGTTCCTCTTTCCCCCCCTATAGCTCCCCTCCACCCAGTTCCCACCCCACCCTCTGCCCTTACCCCCACCCCCACTGTGCTCATCCATAGGTGTACGATTTTTGTCCAGTCTCTTCCCGCACCCCCCACACCCCTTCCCCCCCACCCCCCAAGAATAGTTAGTCCATTCCCTTTCTATGCCCCTGATTCTATTATATTCACTAGTTTATTCTGTTCATCAGATTATTTATTCACTTGATTTTTATTTTTGGTTTTTTTTTTTATTAGTTAAGGTATTACAAATGTGTCCTCATCCCCCCCAATAACCCCCAACCTCCCCCCCCCCCCCGCCCCGCACACTCATGCTCCCATCCCCCTGTTGTCCATGTCCATTGGTTTGGCTTATATACATGTATACAAGTCCTTCGGTTGATCTCTTCCCCTTACCCCTGCCCTCCCCTACTTTCCTTCTGGGGATTGATAGCCTGATCGCTGTTTCTCAGTCTTTGGGTCTGTCCCTTTTCATCAGTCTATGTTGTTCTCTATAATCCACAAATGAGTGAGATCATGTGGTATTTATCTTTCTCTGACTGGCTTATTTCACTTAGCATAATGCTCTCCAGTTCCATCCATGCTGTTGCAAAAGGCAAGAGTTCTTTTTTTTTTTTTTTTTTACCGCAGCATAGTATTCCATTGTGTATATGTACCACAGTTTTCTAATCCATTCATCTGCTGATGGGCACTTAGGCTGTTTCCAAATCTTAGCTATGGTGAATTGTGCTGCTATGAACATAGGGTTGCATATATCCTTTCTGATTGGCATTTCTGGTTTCTTGGGATATATTCCTAGTAGTGGGATCACTGGGTCAAATGGGAGTTCCATTTTTAGTTTTTTGAGGTAGCTCCATACTGTTCTCCACAGTGGCTGCACCAGTCTGCATTCCCACCAGCAGTGCAGAAGAGTTCCTTTTTCTCCACATCCTCTCCAACACTTGTTGTTTGTTGATTTGTTGATGATAGCCATTCTGACAGGTGTGAGATGATAACGCATTGTCGTTTTGATTTGCATCTCTCGTATAATTAGTGACTTTGAACATGTTTTCATATGTCTTTCGGCCTTCTGTATGTCCTCTTTCGAAAAGTGTCTATCTAGGTCCGTTGCCCATTTTTTTATTGGATTGTTTATCTTCCTTTTGTTAAGTTTCATGAGATCCCTGTAAATGTTGGAAATTAAACCCTTATCGGTGGTATCATTGGCAAATATGTTCTCCTATGTAGTGAGTCTTCTTGTTGTTTTGTTGATGGTTTCCTTTGCTGTGCAAAAGCTTTTTATTTTGATGTAGTCCCATTTGTTTATTTTCTCTTTAGTTTCCATTGCCCTAGGAGCATTATCAGAGAAGAAATTCCTTCAGCATATGTTTGCGATTTCGCTGCCTGTGGATTCCTCTAGTATTTTTATGGTTTCCCGTCTTACGTTTAAGTCTTTTATCCATTTTGAGTTTATTTTTGTGTATGGTGTGAGTTGGTGGCCTAGTTTCATCTTTTTGCATGTATCTGTCCAATTTTCCCAACACCATTTATTGAAGAGACTGTCTTGACTCCATTGTATGCTCTTGCCTCCTTTGTTGAATATTAATTGGGCATAGTGGTTTGGGTCGATTTCTGGGGTCTCTATTCTATTCCATTGATCTATATGTCTGTTCTTGTGCCAGTACCAAGCTGTTTTAAGAACAGTGGCTTTGTAATACAGTTTGATATCTGGTATTGAGATCCCACCTACTTTGTTCTTTCTCAGGATTGCTGCAGCTATTCGGGGTCTTTTTTTATTCCAGATGAATTTTTGGAACCTTCGTTCTAGATTTGTGAAATATGCCGTTGGTAATTTAATGGGGATTGCATTGAATCTATAAATTGCTTTGGGTAGTATGGACATTTTGATGATGTTGATTCTACCAATCCATGAACACGGTATATTCTTCCATCTGTTTATGTCTTACTCTATCTCTTTTTTCAGTGTCCTGTAGTTTTTGGCATATAAGTCTTTTACCTCCTTAGTTAAGTTTATTCCTAGGTATTTTAATTTTTTTGGTGCAATGCTAAATGGGATTGCTTCTGTAGTTTCACTTTCTGTAAGTTCACTATTGGTGTAAAGAAATGCCATGGATTTCTTAGCATTAATTTTGTATCCTCCTACATTGCCAAATTCATTTATTAAGTCTAATAATTTTTGATGGAGTCTTTAGGGTTCTGTATGTACAGTATCATGTCATCTGCAAATAAGGACAGTTTTACTTCTTCTTTTCCAATCTGGATGCCTTTTATTTCTTCTTCTTGTCTGATTGCAATGGCTAGTACTTCCAGTACTATGTTGAACAGGAGTGGTGAGAGGGGGCATCCCTGTCTTGTTCCTGTTTTTAGGGGGAATGGTTTTAGTTTTTGCCCATTGAGTATGATGTTGGCTGTGGGTTTGTCATATATGGCTTTTATTATGTTGAGGTATGATCCCTCAATTCCTATCTTGCTGAGAGTTTTTATCAAGAAAGGGTGTTGGATTTTGTCAAGTGCTTCCTCCGCATCAATTGATATGACTATGTGGTTTTTTTCTCTCTCAATTTGTTTATGTGATGTATCACATTTATTGATTTGCGGATATTGTACCATCCTTGCATCCCTGGGATAAATCCTACTTGGTCATGGTGTATGATCTTTTTGATGTACTGCTGGATCCGATTTGCTAGGATTTTGGCATCTATGTTCATGAGGGATATTGGCCTATAATTCTCTTTCATTGTATTGTCTTTATCTGGTTTTGGGATTAGGGTGATGTTGGCTTCATAGAATGAGCTGGGAAGTGTTCCTTCCTCTTGGATCTTTTGACATAGTCTGAGGAGGATAGGTTTTAGGTCTTCCTTGAATGTTTGGTAAAACTCCCCTGTGAAGCCATCTGGCCCCGGGCTTTTGTTTGCTGGAAGCTTTTTGATTAATGCTTCGATTTCCTCCATAGTTATTGGCCTATTGAGATTTTTAGATTCTTCCTGGTTAAGTTTTGGAAGGTTGTATTTTTCTAGGAATATGTCCATTTCCTCCAGGTTGTCTAGTGTGTTGGAGTAGAGTTGTTCATAGTATTTTCTAACAATCCTTTGTATTTCTATGGGGTCTGTTGTTATTTCTCCTCTTTTATTTCTGCTTTTGTTTATTTGGGTCCTCTCTCTTTGTTTCTTGGTGAGCCTGGGTAGAGGTGTATCAATCTTGTTTATCCTTTCAAAGAACCAGCTCTTGGTTTTGTTGATCTTTTGTATTGTTTTTTTGGTCTCTATGTCATTTATCTCTGCTCTGATCTTTGTTATTTCCTTCCTTCTGCTTACAGTGGGCTTTTTTTGTTGCTCTCTTTCTAATTCTTCGAGTTGTAGAGTTAGGTCATTTATTCTCATTGTTTCTTGTTTCTTGCAGTAGGCTTGTAGAGCTATGAACTTCCCTCTCAAGACTGCTTTTGCTGTGTCCCATAGGTTTTGGATTGTTGTGTTTTCATTGTCATTTGTTGCCATGATGCTTTTTATTTCTTCTTTGATCTCACTGGTAACCCAGTCGTTGTTTAATAGCATGCTATTTAGTATCCATGTGTTTGATTTTTCTGGATTGTTTTTGTTGTAGTTGATTTCCAGTTTTATGCCTTTGTGGTCTGAGAAGATGCTTGATATGATTTCAATTTTCTTGAATTTGTCTGTGACCCAATATATGGTCTATCTTTGAAGATGACAAATGTGCACTTGAGGAGAATGTATATTTTGTGGATTTGGGGTGAAATGTTCTGAAGATGTCAATTAATTCCATCTGATGTAGTGAGTCATTTAGGATTGATGTTTCTTTGCTGAGTTTCTGTTTAGAGGATTTGTCCAGTGGTGATAATGGGGTGTTAAGGTCCCCTACTATGATTGTATTGCTGTCAATCTCTCCCTTGATCTTCTCCAGAAGATTTCTTACGTATTTGGGTGCTCCTATATTGGGTGCATATATATTTACCAGAGTTATTTCTTCTTGTTGGACTGCTCCCTTTAGTATTATGAAGTGGCCTTCTTTATCTCTTTTTATGTCCTTCACTTTGAGATCTAATTTGTCAGATATAAGTATTGCTACCCCGGCTTTTTTTTCACTTCCATTGGCCTGAAAAACCTTTTTCCATCCCTTCACCATCAGTCTGTGTGCGTCTCTTTTTCTGAGGTGGGTTTCCTGTAGACAGCAGATATATGGGCCATGTTTTCTTATAAACTCATTTACCCTATGCCTTTTGACTGGGGAATTTAATCCATTTACATTTAAAGTTATTATTGATAGAAACTTGTTAGTCGCCATTTTTGTTCTTTACCGCTGCATTCCTTCTTTGTTTCCTATTTTTTCTATTTACAGCAGACCCTTTAGCATTTCTTGCATTGCTGGCTTGGTTGTAATAAACTCCCGTAGACCGTTTTTGTCTGTGAAGCTCCTGATTTGACCCTCAATTTTGATTGATAGCCTTGCTGGTTACAGTATTCTTGGATTCAGACCCTTCCTTTGCATG